AAACATTTCAATCCTCATATTTCAACCGGCTTGTCAAGTTATGGAACCACGTCTGCAAAATTCTTCCCTCTACCACCTTTGCCAGCCTCTCCATCTTCAAAAGATCTCTTAAAGCCACTTACGCTAACTTGGTTACGGCAACATTTGACGTGGACATGCCATGCACCTGGACACTGGTGCGGGACTGCCCCTGCCACAGATCTTAAGTAGTTTTAATAGACTGTTCCTCTTATTGTGTTCACTGAATGCGGCCACATTATGCTTGTGAGTTGAAATTATTATGCTAACACATCCGTGAAGCATTCATTATGCTTATGAGTTTGAAATTATTATGCCAACACATCCGTGAACAGGGACCGCGGAGACGGGGGGGCTGGGGGGCTTTAGCCCCCCACTTTTTTTGACAGCCAAAATTATTAAAATAGAAATCTAAATGAAACTTTCTAAACTAATTAATTGGGGGTTTTATTGATGATTTAGCCCCCCCACTCTCTAATACGCTCCGCGGGCCCTGGTGAAGCATTCATTATGCTTGTGAGTTTGAAATTATTTTGCTAACACATCCGTGAAGCATTCAGGGGCCGGTTCTATCAAAGGCGTTTAACTCGCTAACCACCGTTTAACTCGCTATCCGCCGGATAAAATTTAAACGCTCGAGAAATCGCGTTGTATCAAGCCCGTTTAGGGCTATCCACCGGTTAAATTTTGCCTATCCACCGTGTAAACTTATACAGTTTCTTGAGACCGTTTAAATCGCTATACGGCGGATAAACTCGGAGTTTGAAGATAAAACAATGATTATTTCGGATGAAAAAGCATGGGATAGTTATAAAAATGCACAATCATGTAGAGGAGTTATCTTTTTAAATCCAATAAACATGAAAAACTCACTTTTAACTGGCTTGGTCTTGAGGTACACTGAGGTCACTTGCTCACTTGTATTAAATTCCGTGGCTTTGCTATATTTACGCACACCAGTGTCATGTTTAGATGTTAAGTATATATACTCTGGCTTTTTCTCCTTCTTTTCTTCTATTATATAGTTTGAAAACAAGCAGTAAGACTCCCAATTTTAGCTATTGTAAAACAAACAATGACTTTGGAAAGCCAACAAGTATACAAAATAGACAACAAGACGCCGAACAGAAAGTCGAAAAAAATGTTCGCTCGCGTTAATCGCTTCGATCATGCAGCCAATCAAAACTTGGGACAAAATGTTCTTAAAATTGTTTTGAACAAAAGTGCAAGGTCGAGGAACAAATTTCAAACAGTTTAAAACTGAATCAACTGACAAAAGTCAAATTCAACTCGCAGTTTTTGCTATTGCCTTCGACTCTTCGCATAAAGAAGCCAAAAATCTTTAAAGAAATATCCGTAAGTGAATTTAAGTGAATGGGAAACTCAGCATAATGCGAAAATGAAAAGTTTGATATAGATTTGCAGCAACGAATGGACGAGCAAACTCAAAATAAAAACAACAACAAACTTTATTGCAAAAGCTTAGTGGAATTTAGAAGTTATAGATAAAGCTTAAAAAGTTTACAAAGGCCTACCAACAGCTGATGTAGAGGTAAGAAATTTCAAGAAAATCCGGTTTTCTCCGGTTAAATTAAAGGTTATCCTACGGATAGTTAAACGCGGTACTAAACGGGCTTCGTACACGCAATTTTATCGGCCGTTTAACTATCCGCTGGATAAGAAATTTATACGCTGGATAGCAGCTAAACACCGTTTAAGTTAAACGCCTTTGATACAACCGGCCCCAGGTGGTTGCGTTCATGGTCATACTAATAGGGGGAAGCGGCTTTTATATATTTGTATTTTATGTATGTGTGTATTTATATTTATCTACGTATTCGCTGCTTCTGGGTTTGCACCTTGCATGGGACTTCGCGTCTCGTTTGTGCTTATGCCATTTGAGTTCATATTAATTATACATAATATTAATTATATATAATTATATATAATATTAATTATATAATATAATGTTCTCAATAAATATATTTGAACATAAATACACTATATAGCATCTTCAAATCTCTCAACTCTATTACTTTGCAAGGTTCATATCTTCGGTTCGATGCATGCTATGAAGACAAAAATAATACTACAATACAATACAATACACTATAAAACTTTATTTTAACACGGCAAAATCTTCAGTACATTAATTAGAGAGAAAAATAATTACAACTGATTTCCAAGATTGCCGTGTGTGAGTCATTTTACAAATTATAGTAATAATATAATTGTTAAGGAATTCTGAAATAGTGGTAACGAACGCGGAAGCATTAGTATATTTTGAGGCAGATTATTCCATGCATAATAAGGCTCCACTATAACAAAGGCTTCGTTTTCAACAGTTAGTTCGTGGCTTGGGCAAATTTAGCTTTAGTTCAGAGTTCCTTAAGTTGTACCCCTGCCATGAACAGAGAAAAGATTTTGTAGGTAAGATGGTGCATCACCATTGACTATGTTAAACATTAGTCTAGCCTTAATCTTTTTGCGTCGTAAACAAAGATTGCCTAGGTGCAAATTATTCAAAAGAGAACTAGCGCTTGCATCATAGTGCGACCTCGTAATGACTCTTACTGCTCGGTTCTGTAGTTTCTGTATTTTACCATTCGATTCAGTGAAACAAAATCTCCAAATTCCTAACCAAATGTCCACAATATACCTTTCATGTATTAAAATTCGCGCAGTACTAGAATTCGCGCAGCGATGGGTGCGCAAATGTTAGTACTGCGCGAAATATAATCCGCGCGAATTGCTTTGTGGTAGTAAAGATATAGCGTGCGTTCAAATTACCAACAAGAACTAAAACATTTATTGTGTGGTTCTCATTTGCCTAGTACAATAACATTATAGTATGACGCTAATTTTAACACAAGTATTAGGTATGGTATTATAATTCATTATATAAGGAACAATGTAAACTAGCCATACATTTCGCCAAAAATAACTTCGACTCCTTTCGACATATCTTTTTCGTAATAGCCTTATTCGAACCAGAATCCAAAACACTACTTAGTGTGTTATTATCAAGCTTGTAACTTCAGATTTTCATCTTCAGATTTTCATCTGCATTATTTGACACACCCCTCCCGTTGAAAAGGTTACTTTGTCAGGATTACAATGGTGCTTTTCGTTTTAAAGGGTGTAATACTCGCTGAGATCTAGATATTTACAACTAGAAACAATTGAGAATCGTAAAAATGTTAAATTTTAAGTTAGAGGGCGTTAAAATTAACCCATTTACTGGCATTACACTACCCATTGAGTATTAAATTGTCTGGAGTTGATACACAGTAAATACTAAGGAGCATCGCCAGCCATAGACGGATTTTCATATTTTTTACCGGGGTGGTGCCAGAAATTTTAGGGGGGTGAGTCGCGAGCAGGTGACTGAAGCAACACAAAGTGTCACCAAACCCCAGTAGGGTCTATATTCTAGGGGTGGAGCACTAGAGCCGTGAGTGGAAGTCTAGAGAGCAGAAAACAAAGTATCCCTGAAAAAATTGAAAAAAAATGATGTTTTCTAGCTTCGAAAAACTTTTTTGAAGTTGTCATATCAATGGAATTGGCCTGTCCAATTGTCTGTCGAAGTTAAATGAACCTGTAAAAGTGTAAACCCAATAGGCCAATACACAATATGCTTTTACTTTTATAAAATCATTGACATTGTGTCGTTTGAATCCGAGTAGAATTTATGATGCAACTCCGACGTAAAGATTAAATCTAGGCAAGACTATTTCCTAAAAGAATTAAAAACTAAAAATGTTCGTAAAATTTCCAAACGTTCCTTGCAAGCAAGCTATTTGCATGACAAGGCACTGCAAACTCTATTCAGGGGAGATAATAGAGTTTCAAAACTTTACAATTGGACCAATAGACCAGCGAATGCAAGCGAGGAGCAATTAGTTTCAGAGTAGTGCACTGTCTTTTTCTATTTTAGTGTACTCCTACGTTTATTTTGTATAATCAACACTCTAGAGGCACGTTGGAGTGGACTATTTAATTATTTTTTATTATAC